CCACAGCTCCATTAGGAGTTTGAAAAGCAGACATACCTTAAACTGCCTTGCCAGGTGCTGCTTGTGGCTTTCTTCCACTTGCTTAAATTTTGTTTCCAGTCCCCTCATCTGGTTTTCCATCTTCTCCACGTACTGTAGGTCTCTCTGGGTCCGCCTGTCCAACACCTCTATCGACTGGGACATGTTTTGCACCTGTCAAACGAGAAGGGACTCATTAAGAAGGTACTTCCAGCACCAAGGCAGCCCCTCTTTTGCATCCCAACACAGACCTTTTCCACACAGTCAGCAGAGATAAAGGGCAATCAGCCCATGCATTATTTACTAGTTAATCAACAGCATCTCACAGATCATGACCCCGTGCTCTAAACCAGAGTAAATGTGTTTCCTAAATGTTTTTCCTGCTGCACAGAATAATTTAACAATCTCACATGCAAAAAAGGGTTGTAGTCGAGGATAAAACATGTCACTCGTGGCTGCCTCTTTGAGAAGCTGGAGTGGCACCTGCTGTTGCACAAGGAGAGCTCTTAGTTGAGCAGAGGCCCACCTGGGTATGAGAAAAGCCTCTGCTCAGGTGCACATTTCCATTTCCTCGCGCGCGTGAGCGACGCTGATTTGCCTAAATGCAAACTTTACTCCCAGCTCGTAAAACTTCATTATCCAAAACAGCCCAACTGTTTACACAGCATCTGCCACAACAAACCCAGCTGCGGGTGAGGGCACCCTGGAGCTGGGAAGTACGGTGGGAGCTCCCACTCCCCACCGGTTCCTGCCCGCCGGGGCGGTTGTGCCGCGCCGGCAGCTCTGGGAGCCGAGCGGTGCCGCAGCCCCCCGTGCAGAGCCCATCTGGCCTCGCCCGAGGAACGAGGCAAAGAAGGTTGGCTGGGCTCATCGTGAGAAAAAGAGCTGAAGGTGTTAGGAGGGGAAGGAAACGCCAGCTAGGCTGACCTGATTTTGAAGGCTGGCTGCCATCTGATTTATTAAGATATTCCCTCCTCTCCTTTCTCAGGCTTGGGAGAGGGGGAACGAAGCTCTGACGTGGGCAGGCACCAAAGCACCTATTTAGCATGAGGCAATGAGCAATATTTAAGGCCCTTGCATCAGGGACGGATGTGTTTGTACCCCGGCTGGTACATTACGGGGCTCAGCCCACGGCCGGTGCTCCTGCCGCCGCCACGTCACCCACAGCAGCGCCACCGTGGCACCGCGGGGATGACGTCCGGGGCTAAAATGAATCAGGCACCCGAGCGTGCTGCTGCGTCAGGGCCGTCCTGGCTCAAGTCTCCTCGGCTGTGGGCGTCTCAGCAAAACCCAAATGTGAGCCAGCGCCGTCGCCGCGGATCCGCTCCCAGACACTTCCACTGCCACATCCGCTCCCGTCGCCGTCCTCGCCAGAGCCGAGCGCGGACAGGGCCGGGATGGGGAAGGAATGGTGCAAGTGCAATATTTCCTGGGGCCAATCGCACTGGGCTGTTGGTGACTTACCTCAAGTGACAGGGCGAGGGCACGGCAGGACACCCGCGCGCTGCCAGGGCTGGGAGACTCCTCGCTGAAACCAGCCCGGGTCAAATGCCAGCTGTGGTGTCTGCAGCTTGGGAGCCCATCAAAATGCCCATTGCTCATGCACGATGACAAGAAAACTATTACAGGGATCCATTAAAAATGTATGGGTGACCTGTATTTCAAAGGCCAGCAGCGAGGAAACATTCTGTACGACTCCTCCGGGGGTCTAATAGTCTTCCTCGGCAAAGGTGAAGCTATTTTCAGTCTCTGAGCCCCAGCACATCACCTGGAGATGAACCAGCACCCACCCTGACTACCCCCAAGGACCTGCTCAGAGAGGCCTGAGGAGCAGGGAAGAGCAGAACAAGACCCTCTTGGTTTGAAGAAGAAAAGAGCAAACCTGAGCTCAGCCTGAGACTGTTCAACTCCCGTTTAGCTGTGCCACCCCCAGGGAGCTTCCAGCAGTCACAGCTGGGTGCTAATTCACCTGGGCTGGATGTGGAGGAGTTTGAAGACCTCTCTCTACCCTGAGGCAGGAGAAGGGACAAGCGTGGCTGCTCTGCAGATATTTTTATTCTAGTAATCCAGTCTATTCTCCTTTGAGATGAGCTGTATCTGCCCAGCAGAATTGTTCCAAGGGGTTGGGATAGGAATGGCTTGTAGAGATCATGCAAAATTGATCTAATTGCACTAATGCCTAACCCCAACTAAAGGCCAAGCTGCAAGTAATCAGAAAAGAGCATTTCTGTAATGATGGACAAGTATCAGAGTTCACAGGGGCTGAGTAAGGCTATGGGGGGCTCCTTACGCTGCTTCTTGGTTGGTGGGGAGAGACAGACTCTGCTGTCAGAGCATCTCACTGGGGCTGCTGCTCTGAAAACACCTCTGGAGTGTTTCTGCCTCTCCCTGACTGCAGAGGAAAATAACCTCCTCACATGTCTCTAAATGGAGATGCCTAAAATAGCTGCTGTGCTATTTTGGGGGTGGATTTTACAAGCCCAGGCTCGGTATTTGTTGCCTGTATTGTTTTCAACCAGGCAAGATTGTGGCCAGACTTGCAGCATCGCCCCTGGTCCCTGAGAGCAGCTTGTGCTCCAGCAGCTGAAGATCTGCTTGTTTTCCATCATTAGCATATCACGCCCTTGATCCAGCAAAGTACTCTGGCACATGATTAGGTTTCAATGAGACTGTTCATAGCTTACACTTAAGCATGTACAGAAATGCTCTAATGAACTCAGGCCCAAGGATCCTGTCTCTCAAATTCCCTCAGCTTCCTCCATTAACTGCTGTCCTCAGTCATGGGCTACAATGCTTTTTGCCCCCACTCTCAACCTGAAACCTCATTTTCATCAAGCTAATGTGAGACAGGTACCTGTGATTGTCTTGGGGAAGGAATTATTTTTAGCATTTGAAATAGAAAATTAATACAAATGAAGCTTCCAGTGCTGTTCTTCTCATCTCGTTTGATGAGTTGTTTCAGAAGTAAAGCAAAGTATCAAAAAGTCAATATTGGCCTGATGACCTCAGTGAGATCTGTAAGGTCAAAGCCATGGTTTAAACCCTGCTCAAGCTTCCCTGTGGATCAGCCTTTCATACCAGCTCCAAAAGGCCTGTTCTAAGCCCATCTTTGGGGTTTGAATTGAGATGAATTTTTAGCCCTGGGCAGCTGGACAAACTGGTGGAACAACAGCATGAGGCACCTTAAGGGAGATTTTCATGGTCTATGGGAAAAATTAGCAGAGAAATGGATGCAGCTGATGGTTCAGAACATGAAAAGTTCATCTTATAAGGTCTGTAGGAGGCAAAGTGAAGGTTGAGAAGAGATGGCATTTTCCTTCGTAGATACACCTCAGAGTGACTATCAAAGGAACAAAAAGACCTGTTTAATCTGGAAATCAGCGCTGGCAAGATGAAGAATTGGCAGGAAACCAAAAATGGTTTGACCATCAGAGGAGGAAGCCCTCCCAGAAAACAGGGCCAAAATAAATAAATAAAAATCCATTTGAAGATAAAAAACATAATCTGTTTATGAGCAGGATTGAGGTGATGTCTTGGTTTGGAGGCAGCCCAAGATCTGGACTCAGCACCTGACACATATCAGGCTGGAAGGACTCCGTGTGCTCCAGCCAAGGATGAGCTCAGACACCTCAAGTGCCTAAACCTGGGCTGAACAGTTTGTGCGGTGGCGAGCGGCCCTGGCTCCCCTCACCTCCCTGAACGCTGCTCTTTAACCTGACTCGGTGCCCAGCACTCACTCCCCAGCCACAGGAACTGCACTTCCTACACAGATGCTCAGCCCCATGAGCTGAGTGTAGATGGATGCAGTCCTGGCAGCTTTGAACCACAAAATTCAGCTGCTGAAGCCTCTGTGTGGAGATTTCCACTGCAGCTGCTGTAATTGCTTTGTGTACACACACCCACCCACCCACCTACAAATGCAGCTTAATTCTGGCAACGCCTCATCATCCCCATAGGTGACCTCCAGGTCTGCTCCTTTGAAAATCCAAACAGTTACCTCTTTGACACATTATGCTGCTTCATCTGCTGGCAGAGAGAAGTCAGGAGCTGAGAGTTTTCCCATCACAAAGCCAGAGTTAAAACATCAGATGACGAGGGAAGGAGTTTTCAGGTTCAAAATCCTTCCTGGGAAGCTGGGAGCTCTTCACTGCAGTTTGGTTTCTCCTACAGGGATTGTCATTTCAGCCTCCCTCAAGATCAGATGTCTGGCACTAAGAGCCTATTCTTTATTTTGGGGTTTTTCATTTAGGTTAGCGTGGGAGTGAGATGCAGACAGATTAGCAGGCAGGTAACATCCCCAGAACACATGCCTGGAAATACAGCTCCTCCCTCACTCTATCCATTGGCAGCCAGAGAGCTGCATAAAAAAAAATCACCATGCGCTTACTTACACCCTCCTGATGTTATCCCAGGTCTCCTACACCCAACTCCTGTCCATTAGCAGAGGGCATTGGGTCAAATCCTGCTCATTTAATGCCTCTGAGCAGTTCTGGGAACACGAAGGCTCTCGGACATCCATGGCAGCTGCTCATAAATATAACGCCTGCTGCCTCTCAGGCAAATGGACCCATTGCGTTATTGCTCAGAGAAATAAAAGCTTGAGTAGGATTATTTTTAGAAGCCTCTGACATACCAAAGAATTGTTTTAGGGCTAAATGTTTCCTGGCTCGCTTTATTGTCCTTATCACATGGGAACATCAGTTAAGTGTAGGTTTAATGTTGTTACAGGGAATTAATACAGTGGCTTCCCCAAAGCAGCAGGACAAAAATTCTTTTGTCATGCACAACACATACCAATATAGCATTGGGGCATGGGGTTTAATTATTTATCCAGCACAGGAGTCAGCTTATATTTTAAA